GATAGAGAAAATTGAATAATACGAACAGTTCAATTGATCAAATTGTGAATAATCCGTGGCCTCGGCAAGGTTCGAACCCATATCAGCAGGGAAGGCTTTAATACAAGCAACGCTCTACCGACTGCGCTACGAAGGCACGCCGACAGTGGTGAATTTAATCTGTATTGATGGATTCCATTACCGCAGTAGGCTGGGCGGGTAGATCGACCCAAGTGTAATTAAATCCACGGCTCTCGGTGTGCTTTCGTAGCTTAGTTAGTAGAGCGTTGACTGCACTAAAGCCTTCCTTGCTGATGTAGGTTCTAATCCCACCGAGGCCATGATTTTTACAATTGGGTCAATTGAATTAATGCTGACATCGAAATCGCCCTATTCTGACAGTTAACCGCCAGGGATCGCTCAAGCAGTGAAGTCCAGGCCTTTGAAAAGGCTTGAGTCACAACCCCTAACGAGAAAAAAGCCAGGGCAATTTAAGTAAGGCATTAAAACCTCGGTCGATAAAGCCAAGGCAGCCATTGGCAAAGTAGCAGAATAAAAAGGACTTACAGTTGGACTTCTTTTCCTCAGCTGGCGCGGCTGCATTGCATCGTGCCACCTAGAAACGGAGATGATAAAATGAGGAGGAAATAGCCCAGTTTCAGATTGCAGAATGCGAAGGCGTTAAAGAGGCGCATTAGGAGCACTTGTTACAGAAAAGCAGGCAAAAAGGAATAGAAGACAGTGGCGAATGTGTGTGTGTGCCTATGTAGACACACACACCGGACTGTGATCTGTGGTATCCCACATGGACAAGTTAAATCGGTAAAACACAGGAGTACGGAACAGTCGCCGTTGTGAATATGACCTTATGTTAGATTTCAGTGAGGTTACGGCTAGAGTTAGTGTTGAGGGTTAGGGCACGAGAGTAGGCAAAAGCCGGAATTTAGCGCGAGGCCACGGGAGGAAGGGGTTTATAATTGTGTGTCCGGTCGTTGATTCTTACCGCAACAGACTGCTGACTTAGACTTGCTAGTTACTCCTCCTCCTCCTAGCATCAAGGGAAACTTGGACCTATGGGGGTTACATGAATACCTTTGGTATAACTTTAAAAGCCTTTTCACCCGTGTAGTCTAGTGGTCTGGCTTTTGTGATCGGTCAAAAGAACAATGGTTTTAAATTTTTGAGGGAAATTCTCGCTGTCTGAGGGGTTAGCTCGGTTTTTGGCAACGAAGATTCCATGCAGATAATCAACAGAGCTCAAGAGCGGGCAGTGAACACGTCAATTTTGGATTTTGGACGCGAAGTGCTAAGCAGAAACGTCTTTGGGCGATTCCCTATCCAAATGCAGATTGCAGCAGTTTCAGTTTCGTCTGCAGACGACGGTCTGGATTGGGAAACAGGTTTTTTCGTAGATGACCCACATGGAAGACACTACTGTCGGGAATGAAACAGCACGAATATGTTGACGACATTCAGGTTTTTTAAGCATTAAGGACAGAGGACTATCTCACATGATGCGGCTTTGGTCCACAGATGAAATCAGAAGTCAACAAGTCTCCGGAGTATATCAACTAGTGGAACAACAGTTCGCATTAGGGTTATATTCAGCAACCACAACTGCTATCCTTTGGAGAAACAAGTATCAAGAAATGTCATGGCTGACCGGAAATTTTAAAAAAAGTATTGAGTAAACATTTGTCCGCAAGTTGTGCATTATCGGTCGCAGCTCTTTTGGAGAAGCAAGCATTAGCGCTGCAGATCTTATACCAGAAGGATGAAGAAGAAATCCTTAAAATTAAGCCCTCTGACAATACGGTGTTAACTAGCACCACTGTGGTTTTGGATGATGTTAATCTAACGAAAGAGATAGACAGACTCCGAAAAAAAGACTGCTTCTTAGAACGCTAGCTCATTGAGGCGGCGGTTGTACCGAATCTGATTAGAATTGAAAAATGCAGAAGCGACGAAATACGCATAAACTGCTGACGTCATAAAATTGCACGACCCCCTATTCAACTGTTTACGGTAATTGCCTATTAATAAGATAAACTGTCCAGTTAAATATCGACCTAATGGGGGTGAAAATTGA